TCAAGGGAAAAAAAAGGGGAGGGAGCAAAAGCAGCAGAGCAAGGAAAGCGTCACAGCACCGGTCAGGGCGCTTGTTTCCTTCTTCCTCGCTGAGGAGCCAGGCTGGGGGAGATGGGAAAGAATTAGAAGATTAAGTGTTACTTGATTATTCCGAAAGACAGAATTTGGTCATGGGAAAAGTTCTGGTTCTTCAAAGCACTTTCCACACCAACTATCGGGGAGCCCCCTGCCAACTCCCAACCCAAGGATGCAGGCAAGGCACATCAAGCAAATATACCCAAAGCTCCCTTTTCTGTTCAGAAATAGGTAATCTTGATTTTCACCCTTTTTTTCTTTTCCAAAATTCCTACCCTATCTTTAAACTAAATAGCACCGTTCAGAGAAAAATTAAAGCCTGTGAACAGTCACAAAAACAGTTTCAATCTGTAGGTGCCCTTCACTTAGATGATAATAGTGCTCTTTCAAGCAGGTTCATTTGAGTGTCTGAGACACCAATATTGGGTGCTGGTGGAGCAAAAGAAAGAAATATCTGGAATTTCAAAGACTAACATTTTTAAGGATTATAGATAACCAACATTTAAAATAGGATATTCAACAAAAGAACACTCTGGGCTCCTCCTGGGACACCCATGTGGAGACAACAGTAACAGAATACAAAAGTCCAGAGGCAAGGAAACAGACAACCAAACTGAAGAGACAAGAAGCAGTGACAGGTATGATGGTGGTGTAAATCACAAATGAGAAGCCAGAGAAGCCCTAGACACATTAGCAGATGAAGGGCTCATGAGAAGACTCATGGCTCAGAGACAATAAGGAAAGCGCCATGGCATTTATCTGCCCCTCCCACAGAAATACCAGGCATAAAATACCCCAAAGCCATGCAGTGAGTTATGCTTCTAATGTAATTTGAAATTAAAAGTTATTTGTATATACTCGTTGACTTAGAAAACTAATACGGTTATAGTGTTTTTAAAAAGAAAGGAATACCCCAAAGGAAATGCCTGACTATAAGAAGGTATACTGTACTAAGTAAAATAAAAAAACAATCCTGTTAAGTCAATAGCGCCCCTAGCAATCCCAATGCAACATCAGTACTGCTCCGTACACACGGTTCCGAAGGGCGTGATCTTGATGAAGCAGACTGTCCTGTATTGCTGCTGTGGAACAGCTGGTGGGTTCGCCCTGCCAACTACCCAGGAAGCAACCCAGTACTTAACCCCTGTGCCACCAAGGCTCCTGGAGGACTAACAGAAGAGCTACCTGTGTTAAGACAGTAAAGACATGAAATACACTCAGTACTAGTGAATGAGATGACTACTACAGATTACCAATCAGAGCCACTATGAACTTTTAAAGACTGTTCTGAAAGACCCCTTCTGAAAGTTAATGTGAGAACACTAAACACAACAATTCTGTTTAGGCAATTATTCACTGGATGTATTGGCCCCCCCAAAAAAGCATTCAGATGTATTTATAGCTCCAACAGAAAATGGGAAGATGTAAAAAAACACATTACTTCGCCTCAACTGATTTGAGAAATAGAATGTGCAGGTGCCTCGGGGACTCCTACCAGTATTAAGGCTCACTCCCACCCGGTAAGGGGCTGAAAGCTGCCGAGCCCGCAAGTGCACTGTACCGAAGGCGCTTCCATTACACATGCTCAGGAGTACTTGTGGTTCCTGTCCCTCCAAATGGATATATGAAGGGTTCATTACTTTCCATGAAGAAGGGGTGACATTTCTCCACAACAATAAATACTTCAGATAAACACTCATATATTTTCCCCACAATTTATCATTTCTCTTAACATGTTCATGGAAAAATTCTTCACCATTGTAGAGCCTCTGTCAGAAATCAAAGCACAGCCCAGTGAGTGCATTGTGACGCTAGGTGAAGGTCCTCGTGCTGGAGTAGGATATGCACAGGCAGTGCAGTGCGCCTGTGTAAAGAGCATGGATGGCAGCAATGATGCACCAACAACCATCAACCTGCAAGACAGAAGGTCTCACAAGTGGGACATCATAAAACAGACCTCAACCCTTGTGCCTTTAAAGTATTTATGGTAGCACAATGAAATGTTACATAGCATATAAAAATATTTTTATATAGCATTTTAAAGATTGTAATTCAAGGCTTTCACACCGTGAAATGCTTACATTACTTTGCCCTGAATTAAGTTATACATCAATGAGTTAATTCCATCATCCTTCAAGCAAAATGACTGATCGTAAGTAGGATAAAAGTGTCAGGTTCCTGCTTGACTGTCTCCTTTTCTCGTTACAGAAGCAGGTAGTAGAAGCCGACTGTGCTCACTTGCCTTTGTTTTGTAAACTGTAAGTTGATTGGTAACGAGGATGTAAACACAAGCCTGAGCCCAGAAAGAGGCAAAGGAAATCCTACATGGAGGGAATCGGTCTTTCTTTTTTTTTTTTAATTAAATCATTTTATTGGGGGCTCCTACAACAATCTATACATCCGTCCATTGTGTCAAGCACATTTGTATATATGTTGTCATCTTCATTTTCATAACATTTTCTACTTTATCCCTTAGTATCAGATCCTCAGTTCTATCCCCTCCCTTCTATACCTCTCCCTCCCTCCCTCATGAACCTTTGATAATTTATAAATTACTATTATTTTCATATCTTACACCTACCGTTGTCTTCCTTCACCCACTTTCCTGTTGTTCATCCCTCCCCCTTTCTCCCTTACCTTTCCCCTACCCTCATGGTATGGCTACTCTCATGATTGGTCCTGAGGGGTTTATCTGTCCTGGATTTCCTGTGTTGTGAGTTCTTATCTCTACCAATGTACATGCTCTGGTCTAGCCAATTTGTAAGGTAGAATTGGGGTCATGATAGGGTTGGGGGAGCATTCAAGAACTAAAGGAAAGTTGTATATTTTGCTGGTATTATACTGCACCCTGATTGGCTCATCTCTTCCTTGTGACCCTTCTGTAAGGGGATATCCAATTGTCTACAAATGGGTTTGGAGTCTCCACTCTGTCCTCCCCCTTATTCACATCGATATGATTGTTTGTTCTGGATCTTTTGATGCCTGATACCTGATCCTATCAACACCTCATGATCACACAGGCTGGTTTGCTTCTTCCATGTGGGCTTTGTTGCTTCTCAGCTAGATGGCTGCTTGTTTATATTCAAGTCATTAAGACCCTAGACACTATATCTTTTGATAGCTGGGCACCATGAGCTTTCTTCACCACATTTGCTTATTCACCCATTTTGTCTTCAGTGATCATGTTGGGAAGGTGAGCATCACAGACAGCCAGGCTATTAGAACACAGTGTTCTTGCATTGAGGGAGTACTTAAGTAGAGGCCCAATGTCCATCTGCTACCTTAATACGTAACATAAAAGTATACTTATATAGATCTATTTCCCCATCATTATATATAAATGTATTTACTTATGTATGTGCCTGTATTTATACCTCTATAAATGTCCTTTGCCTCCTAGTTCTTTCCTTTATTTCTCTTTATATTCCTCTTGTCCCACTATCATGTTCAACCTTTCATTAATTCCTCTTGGCTACAATGCACTTGAGCAAGGGCGTAGGGGTCAGCAGTTCTATAGATCCTAACAATGAATTCTCGCTGTTTTAGTTCTTTGCCTCTCCATATCCCTCAAAGCTCATTTTGGAATTCAAAAGAAATCTTTTTGATTTCCAGCACTAACTACCCCAAGTTCCTGGAAACCTTTTTGGGTCACTTCAATATTCCTGTCCAAGAACCTCTGGCAGATGCTTACTGCAAATAGGGACCACTTCTGAAAAGCACAAGCTTAGGTCACTAGAGTGACATGAAAAAGCACCATGATCTAGATGGAGAAACTGATGCTTGGCCAACCCTCAAAGGAATGTGAAAGCAGTTGGTCATCTTGATCCCGGGTCCTGGATTTTAGCCCTATGTAACCTAAGAAGCACGATTCAAAAAGCAGAAAGCAAAATTACATGACCAGGACATATCAGATGGCAGTGGAAGCCTGGCCAATCACATCTACACAGAATAGGTCCATTCAGTGCATATGTAAATTAGCTATCATCAGACAGTCATTCTATGTTCATTTTAATAGTTTAATTCACATAAAAGAATAAACATTAAATCATACCCACTCTTTTAAAAAAACCCTTTCTGCCCTATGGCCCAGAGATAAGTATAATTAATTTTATGACTTATTTTTCCTTTCTCATATTTCTATAAATTGACTGTGTACATTTTTATGTGGATCTTTTCTTTTACTACTTTATGAGTATTTATCCAGGTCATTAAGGTTTCTTTTAAAAACACAGTTCCTAATTCATTTGGTAAATGTAATAATTTTTTACCTAGCGTCTATTCCTTACTAGTATAAATGATTCTCTGATGCTGTGTCTAAAATTTTGACCTCTTGTCAGTATTTCTATGATATTCTTCTCAAGTGGAGTCAGAGTAAAAAGAATATGACTATTTGCCACATCCCTAATGAAAAACTTTAAATCTTAAAATCATGAGTCTACATATGTGCTTAACACAATGGATGGATGGATGGATTGTGATAAGAATTGACAAGCCCCCAATAAAATGATTTTTTTTTAAATCATGAGTCAGTGTCCAATTCTTAAATACTTGTGGTATTGGGGTACAGTCATATTCTCAAGTGAATATAAATATGCAGTGAGATTTTGCAAAAGAAACAAAGGGAAAGAGGAAAAAGCAAGAGACAGCAAACAACTAATTCCTCAAAGACCACAAATGACTGAGCACTACCATGTTTGACGATAATACTCTCAGAATTCAAATTGGGTGGCCTGATCACAGGACTGACTGCACCTGAAATGAATCCAACACAAGATAACGTACTATGGGGCCAAAGCCTCCAAGAAATGCAGTTAAAAAGAAGGAAAATTTTATAGAGAACAATATTTAGGAGTTCTGGTTCTAACTTCAGACCTCTTCTAGTCACTATTATACGGTATTATTATTATACCTATCATAACACAGGACTTCGGAAGTTGCCAAAAGCAGGCAAAAATTATAAAATATAAACAGGCTACTCACCTTTCACTATAAAATATCGTGCATTATCTACTTTTACCTCAAAAGTGATTTGTATTTGGAATATTTATAAATGATATTATTGTCTTCAGTTCATGATAAATGTCTAAAGGCAATAGTGACAGTAACTGATAGTGTCATCATATACACCACGTCCATTTTCTTGTCAACACTACTTGAAGTAAATAAAGCAGACTAGGCTAAAAGAGCTATGACTCTGTGTAGACTGCGGTCAACAAGATAAATATAGCTATTAGGGAAATAAAACCAAAACTAAACACACTGCCACTAAATCATTTCCGACTCATAGCAACCTTACATAGGACAGAGGAGAATTGCCCTGGTGGGTTCCCAAAAGTGTTTTATGAGAGTACAAAGCTTTGGCTTTCTCCTGTGAAACAGACGGTGGTTTTGAACTGCTTATCTTATGGTTAGTGGCCCAACGAATAACCACCATGCCACAGGGCTCCTCTTCGGTAAAGAACAATTCCCTAATTCACTGGGGTTATTATATTTCCTTTACCATACTTCTTTGCAACAAATTCTCCAACGTTGCTGCATCTGATACAAAGATAGCAAGATTCCCTCTAAATTCTGAATGGAGAGCTTTGGAAAGTCCTAATTTAAGAATTTAAGTATATTCTCAACTTTTCCATGTTTCCACAGTTTTGAGAATTATCTCTGGAAAAAAAAAATTATACACCTACATTCCAATGTTTTTTAAGATGATAGGCAAGCAAGTAAAACACACGAGTAAATTTTCTATCAAAGGAACTCTACTTCCTCCTATCTTCATTTCGATCTCCAGATGTAGGGTTCAAGAGAATACATGGGAAACCCAATGCTTGGAACTTTTCAAAAGAGTAGAATTATTTTCTCACCTTTTAAAACTGCTTTTTCTTGAAGCAGATCTGGTGGTTCTGTTAGAAATGCCTGCACTGCCAGAAATGTTAGGTTCAGATGTTTTACAGCTCTGAACACTGGACTGAAGAATTACTCTGGAAATAGTTGGAAAAACATAAGATTATTTCACTGAAACAACTGCAAATACTTGGTGGAGGAAGGCACTTTTGCAAGTTAGTGCAAAATTCGTTTAATTGAGAATGTATATAATTTTCCTTAAATACATTCCTGCCCACGAAAATTTGAAAACATTTTTACATCTAGGTCTTTTAAAAGGAAGCATCTCATTTACTTATAAAGGTTACACAAAGATAACCACAGTATACTTTGCTTTTGGAAAGCATATGACCTGACATTTTAAGGTATTTTCATACTAAATAATTCAATCAGCATAACAAATTTTTGTGCTCAAAGTAAAAGCTGATTCTAGAAATCAGTAGAAAAAAAATCCAAAATTATAAAAACTAGAATATACAGTTAGTATAATGTTCACTCTTCAGAATTGAAGGTATGGATGATAAACACCAAATCAACAACTAAATAACATTTCAAAGTATGTTCAAATAAAATTTGATCCTTTCCTGGATATTACATCAATTATTCACTAAATCTCCAAGGTCCATTAAAATGAAACTATTTAAATTCTTTAAAAGTTGCCCTAATCATGCTTAAAAAATCTTAAGAAACTGATGTCTCCAGGAACCCAGAAAGCAAACTCATGGATCAAGAAGGACAAAGTGTGCACCGAATTGTTTATAAGCTGGGCTTCTTCTCCTTCATTAAACACCCCCACCCCCACCCAGGAGATACAAGAGAAAACACCAAATGATTTTTTTTTATTTTTTTAATCAATTTATTGGGGCTCATACAATTC